TAATGTGCGCTACCGTTTCGAAAGCGTACATTGCGTAATTCAAGCGTCGTCCGCACTTATCGGTGTCAGTTTCTTGAATCAGCGTGAAAGTCTACTACGATGATAGTACACCGGTCATCTGTCAGAAAGAGATCGCTGTGGAATATCAAGTGCATGGATTTCATCGAAGCATTCCGGCGGAATCACCGGAGTCGCTCGGCACACTCCAGCGAACCAGAAAAGCAGGTGGCTTCGACGGACGCGATTTTAGGTTTATTTTTTTTTTTTCATTTTCCGTCGACGTTTTAGTGACATTTCGGAGAAAATAAATGCTGGTTCCCACTCGTCATCCCCCATCATTTGCTTGTTATCGAACTGCTAACCACTGCTCCGAATCGCTGTTTTGAAGCGTGACTATGCGACGAGGACGAACCATACTGATCGAATGCATGATTGGTACCAACCAGGAAGATCATGTGCGGCATAGAGACAATGCGGTTGCCATGGAGACGCGCATGCGCAAACTGGGGCAGTTCGTCGGGGTGCTCTGTACCGCGCCGGTCAACACCTCCTACTAGACAGCTTTCAAGCCTGCGCATGACGTGACATGATGTCACGTCCCGGAGGCCTGCACGGGAGTTAATTGGATGCGAGTGCCACGTCAGCATTAGCGTGGGGCTCGTCAGCATTAGCGCCAATCCCTTGTGACGTAACAATGTACCGCAAGATGTCGGGGCGGTCAGAAAAAAGGCATTGCCAGAAGTAACGCAAGTTGTACCGCTCCTCGTGCTTACCGCGACCGCGTGTAATATCCTTTTTATATTTTTGTTACCCTCCGCACCTCCGCGAGCAATCCAAGCATACAAGGTTTTTTTTATTTGCTTTTCGTCACCTAATGTTACTGTAACGGTAGAAGAAGAGGAGTCAGTGAACCTAGTAAACAAGTTTTGCTGACATTTTAGACAAAACACGTACTTTATGCTCGGCGTTTACTTGTACTTGGTACACTCACCAGTTCGTAATCTCTAGACGGCAAACATCGTCAGCCTGGAGAGTATCTGATGATTCGACGACCTCGGTGTCTGAACCTTCAGCAGTGCGATCGGGCGTGTCATATGCTACCAATTCTAATTTCTGGGAGCGATCTATTTTTTTTAACTCAACAGTTTGTTTTGTGCCCATTATGGCTCTGTACTATCGGACTGATTGCATGCACTTGTACACTGGCTTGTACTCGCAACGCTTTCATCATTGACCTCCATCATGCCGATCTACTGACTCTTCCTCCTCAACTTTTACAGCACGCAAACTAACCAACGGTGCAGTGATAAAAAGCTAGTAGAACTGAAACTTAGTTTTCTACAATCGCTCGTGGAGAAGACAAAAAAAAAATCTTAGTCACGGTAGTGGGGAGCACGAGCAGTGAAACTCACGTGACTTACGGCGAACACAATTTAGTGACGTAAGTCAATGCCTCCCTTCTGACCGCCCCGACATCTTGCGGTACAATGTTACGTCACAGGGCACTGGCGGGCACTTTGATTTTTTTTTTTTTTTTTTTTTGGTGTCAGAGGCCCTTTAAAACTTAAAGTGGATTTACGATATTCGTTCGGCGCTGCTCCTCGTCCTTTTCCGGTGGCCGCGCGCTCAATGTCGTGGAATCGACAGGCCTTCTAGAATAAAGTGTGCTGTGGTTCTACCAATACAACGAGAAAGTGTTCGAAAATGCGTTTTTGGCGCATCGGAACGTACGGCGGATGCCGCCAATCAAAAGGCGACATAGACAACGCGCAGAGAACGCGCGATGACGAAGCAGCCAAGCGCGAGCCGTCATTGGTTGAGATTAAAGAAAAAACAAAAGCACGTGAGCAGGTTTGAGAGTAAACAAACGCACAAGGTGCGCAAAGTGCAGTGATTTTTTTATTTTAGTTTGATTTTGCATATGAGTTATCCAAGTATAGACGATTGCAAGCTGGGCGACTGGCCGCCGCCATGTCTCTGCTCGAGCAGGCACGCCCGTGCGATTACGAGCTTGCCAAAGCTACGTTCACCCGCGCGTTGCACGCGCTTGCACGCATGGGGCACCACCTGTGGCGCCATGCTTGCAATTGTCTATATATAAGGACATTGAGGCACTCTAGTATATATATATATTAAGAAGTATTAGCGGCGAAATGTTTTGGTAGCGCCCTCCTATGGTTACCTCTGGTGACGTAATTACCATGCGAACAACAAGTTCGATGGTGTCTGTAATTAGCACGGTGGAAGCTTGAAATCATAGCGCTCTGAAGCCAACACTAACAACACCGTCAAAATTGAAGTTCTTAGATTCCTGTTTTTTTTGTCGATGAGAAATACTTTGCTGACGTCATAGTCAGCATTCGGCCAATCGTGGCAGCACGACCACAGCGACACTTTCGATCGCGTACGTCGCCAATCGCTGGTAACACGACGAACCTAAAGATATATAAAATGTGTGTTACTAGTTGCTGTCTTGTGTGTGCTAAAGACGCAAAGAAGTTAGAGTAAATGAGTTGTACTTTTCTTTTCATATATTTACACGCGGCGGTTGCAGAAAAAAAATTATGTGGTGTTGAAAGTGATTTTCCAAACTTTATTTAGCGGTTAGTGGTGCGAATTAGCATTGTTTCACGAAGCTCTCGTAATGAGATAGTGACGCACTAGTGCTACTTACGCGTGTTTTCTCGCTCCTGCGCCCTTCGACTCACTTCAGTCTGAATACCTCGATGCCGTTCGCTGGCTCATCCTTTTCCGCTGACTGGGAACAACTATATTGATCTCGCGTCAAAAATCGGCCCGAAACTTTTTCACGTTTTGTTTTTACTCCTTCGATTCAGTTTATCGTACACGTAACGTCGAGTAATTTTCCAAAAAAAAAAAAATGAAGTGCCGAAAAAAATAGACGGGGAAAAAATATATCAATTTAAAACGCGAACTTAAAATGAATCAGCGCTTCCTTCCGCACTGCCCTCCACCGGTGTAATTAGTCCTTAAGTGTGTCGACGTTATTTAAATATTTTGCGCTCCGCAAACCTGCCCCTCCCCCCTCTCCTTGCCTTTCTCGCGTTTTGAGCACCAGTTTGTTCGGTCGTGTTTTTATATCCGTATATTTTTATGCTGGAGTTTACTCCTTCTTTTTTTTTCTTCGAGTTTATCCGGTTTTGTTGTGCGTATGTGTAGAGTTATTTTTCTTTTCTCCACCGAACATCAGCCCCTTATCATTATGGCAAAGGCCTGACCGTTCGAACGAACGCTGCACCGCACGCACGCACGCACATTTCAAACCGCGAAGTGTGGTACGTCCACCCGCCTATAGTGTGCACAAACACACACACACACACGCGCATACACACGCCTGCACGCGTACCAGCGTCATAAGCGGGTAAGATCGAGCGATACTTTTATCTACAAAACTTTTTAGCAACCTCTCTTCTTTTTTTTTTCTCCCTCGCCTTTCCTTCCACATCTAGAGGGAAAAAAAAGAAAAAAAACACAAAAAAGATCGTGGCGATATGCGTGCAGAGAGCGCGCCGTTAAGGAGAAATTACAATAATTAAAAATATCATCGAAATAAAGTTTTCTCGAATGGTTCGCGGAAACACAAACTAAACAGTTTAGGAATAAATAAATAAATAAAATGAACTGGAACGTACAAATGAAACAGAGGCATAAAACAAGATTATTCCATTTTTCACATTCGAACGCTCTCCAAGAGCGCTCTTCATGTTTCGGCCATTTATTTAGCTTGCTTCGATTCGTTTCTTTTTTTTTTTTTTTCTTATGTCGGCCGTCGCTAATTATTAAATGTGTCGATCCTTTTTTTTTTTTTTTTTGGGGGGGGGGGGGGGGGGGCGGGGGCTGAGTCTATCTCGAATATTTTTTTTTTGTTAATAATTTTTTATGCACCGTGTCTGCCTTTCGTTTGCCTGGCATCCATTGCGTGCTCCGTAGCTGCATTAACGAAACGATTTCGACTTATCGCAAAATCTAATTAAACGGGGCGCCCATTTATTATTGCCCGCTCTATGCACGCTTCTCGGCGGTGCACGTTTTTAAGCACCATCTCATTTTTGTACAGTACACGATCCGCAGAAACCGCGAGATAATTTCGTGCGCTTTCTTTTGCTCTTGACTCGTTCTCTCCTAAGCGATGTTCGTCGTCTCTTGGTTTTCTGCTTGGCTTCTATTTGCAGTGAGAAATTTTTTTTCTATTTCTGCCGCTAGGCTGGCTTCTACGAAATGAATTTCCGGAGAAATGCGTGGAAGGGAATAACGAGACCACAGCGGCGTAAAAGTGGTGCTTCTTGAAATGATAGGAATGTCATTCCAATTGTTCCAATCTTTATTGGGTGTATTTCAAACCGCGACACCAGACACACAAAAAGAAAAAAAAAACACGGCTTGACTTACGCAGTTTAACGTGAGGCTTCAGGTAGAAGAAAACATTCTCTCACTGAAATATACTGGCGTAAGATAAGTTCGTTTAAAAGAAAAATGGTGTGTTAGGTTTGTGTGATTCTGCGCACAAGTTCGGCCCTTCGCAAGGACGAAGTGCGGTTATGTGTCTTTTAGTATTTATTAAACGCCTGTAAAGTATAATGATATACGCTATGTCAGACGGTAAAAATTAAGTATTTGTTTCACACTGCTCGGAACTAAGCTACACGTTGCCCCTAAGCTCAGGCTACACCTATGTTGCAGAGTAAAGCAGTGAATGCAAATCGTGCGCTATAATTATAAACATATTTCTGAGGGTAAAAATGCGAAAACCAATAGACATGTAAAAAAAAAAAAAAAATACGAACAACACAGAGTGTTACAGAACAACAGTAGCGCTATGTGTTGTTCGTTTCTTTTACTCTTCCGTTATTTTTATCGCTTCTATTATTGGAAATATGGATTACCAACTAGGCACAAGTGCATACCTATCTAAATATAAACACCATCACGTTTTTTGTTTTTTTTACGCAGGTTGTTTGGCACGACTGGTCTCTGCTCCGCATGCAACAAGACCATCCCCGCCTTTGAGATGGTGATGAGGGCACGCGGGAATGTGTACCACCTGGAGTGCTTCGCCTGCCAGCAGTGCAACCAGCGGTGAGTTCCCAACAGTCACCAGCCACCACGTGAAGTCGCAGTCATAACGAACACACACATATGATTTTGGATATAGGGGCTTAACCTAAAGTCACACAATCCACATCACCTTGTTTCTCATAAAAGGCGTAAAGAAAGGGGGTGATAGGTCTGCTCAATAACTCTAAAGCATCCGAGCGAGGAAAATCGTTAGCTACAATTATCAGTCGATTTAAAGTTGCCATGAAAGTTGGGGCGTGGAGCTTGTGGATCTGTGTTATCCTTATCCCGAAACGAAGGAGGGGTGGCTAACGGCTCTGTACTAACGGCACTGAAGGCATCACCACATGCAGCTTAGCTTTGACATAGCAAAGTCAGCACTGCAACAACGCTTCTGTAAGCACTGACTCAACAATCAGTTAGCGGTAATTTGTTTGTGTGTGCATGAAAAGACGGCGGTGTCACATGCATTGGAGCGATGATATAGCACTGATAATGCACAAAGTCAGCGCTTTCTCTGTGGCGTTGAGTTAGTGCTGCGGTGTACATGTGAACAGCAGTTAGTGCTGCAGTGTATGTGTGAACAGCCATTCAATGTTAGTGCTGCGGTGTATCTATGAGCAGGCCTTCAAAGTTAGCGCTGCGGTGTACGCGTGAACAAGCTTAAAAGTTAATGCGTTGGTGTATGTGTGAAAGCATTCAAAGTTAGTTGTGCATCGAAGACACTAGCAAAGAAACTCATTCCAAGCGTCGTTGCTAAGTAATAGTAACAGCATCGTGATAACAGTATAAATTTTGGAATAGTTCCCATGTCTCACTTGCTAACTTTTCCGAAGCAGGCTACTTAACTTTTCGAGGGCGCAGTATATACGATAATCACGAGAAACTTCAAACGCCGTTTTTTGTAATTGTTCTAAATATTGTCCCGTTTCACTCAAAAGCAATCCCGAATACGTCATACCACCCACCCACACTGGCAAAGTATCTAACCGAAACAAATAATATGGCTAAGCTGTTTGTTTTTTCTGACCTACATTGCTCACTTGATTTCTCCTTGCATAGCCGTTGTAGTCAGTATTTCCGTAGACTAGTGTTGCCACTCTATATTCGGGGTCATTTAAAAGTGTGCATACATGTTGATGTGCGAGTGTTGGTTTGTTTAGCACGTACCATGCCTTGTTTTCAAGATTGACGTAACAGTAGCTTTTTGTTTGTTTTGTTTTGACGATGACGCTACCATCATTTAAGGACTACCAAGCATTGTGCTTTCTTTTCTTATTTTTAGAACGGAGCCAAATATATATATATTTTTAGAAGAGTAAAAAACACCCTTTATTAGACTGAAATGCAAGCTTTTAATGCAGGTTCTGCGTGGGCGACCGCTTCTACCTGCATGAGAACCGCATCCTGTGCGAGTACGACTACGAGGAGCGAATGATCTTCGCTAACATGCCGTACTACGGAGGCGGCGGTGGCGCGCCACCCTCAACGGCGCAGGGGGTGGTGGGCCTCCATCACCACGTCGGCAACGTCGGGCCCCCCAAGCGCCTGCAGGGGCCGCCCCCCGCACAGGGCCCGTCCGTGCCACCCCCCGGTGGCCTGACCATGGCTAACGGACACCTCGCCGGCGACGCCGACCACCCGCATCACTCGGTGGGCGTCGCGATGCAAGGTGGACACCCGCAGGGCCACCCGTACGGCACCCCGGGCGGGGAGCCCCTGCTCGAAGCCAAGTGAACCCCGTGTTGGTTTCTCGGGGGCCCGTCCTCCGGTCTTCGACGAAGCCTCGTCGCCGGCGTCGAAAGTTGTCGAAGCGTGCTACACGTGTGCGCGAAAAGCGTCGGACCTCATCGCGTGATCGGTCGTGCGACGTGCTGAATAAAAGTGCCAAACCAACGCCACCTAGAAGACAAGACCCGCGCGTGACGTCGTTGTTAGTGGATTCCTGACCCGCCTCAAGCGGCGAACGCGCTCAAGACCGGCCTAGAGTACGCCGCGACGCGTTAGACCCGTGCGTCTCGCGTCGCCGCGTGTTTGCGTCGCGCTCGTCATGAGACGCTACAAGATGCGCTGACGGTGACGCTGAACATAGCCTCCTATATACCGACAAGGCCTGGCAGATCGCCACGAGACGCAGCCGCCGATATGGAAAAGGTGGAGCGACAGGCAACGGATGAGAGGAGAGCCACGTGACTGGCGCCCCGCTGCGGCGAGTCGCCGAAACGCCCTTGTTTCGAGCGAACAAGTGTGTTTCGGGTCCTGGCCGCTGCAAAAGCCGTGCACTGACGTCCAGGTCCCCCGAGAAATGGTTCTTTGATGCCCTGTGCTACCAGATCCTTGCGCTCCAAACCCGCGACCGGGCACTATATGGCTCCGTCGTCGAACTGCCAGGCTTTGTGTGTACAGAGAAGGCTATGCGCTGACGCGAGCTAGGCGTCCCTGTGTGAATCCACTAGTGATGACATAAAAAGGAGAGGGTGGCGAGCCTTGTTTCTTAGGTGGTATTGGCCAAACACACGAGCGATGAAAACTAATGTCGAGCGGTGACGGTTACCATAACAACCGCATTTCGACATGCCGTCGGGCCGCGCTGATCCCCCATGCCACGGCGTCAGCGACAACTACTATGGTAACCGTATCACGCGAAACCTGTTTTTTTTGTTTGCTCATTTGTGTCACCCTTAACGCGTCATGCGACGGTGTTATAATCACTGCTAAGATGAGAGCGGCAAGGGGGAGGGAGTGCCAGTTGTTGTCATACTATTCCAGCGGGAGCCTTCTATCTTCGATAACACTTGGGTGTCTCGTGAGAGTCGAGCACGCACGCGCAGCGTAAGGTCGTTGAAAGTCGACGGGCTGATGCTGGAGGCTTAGGACATCAGAGGGGCACGTCCCGCCGTTCCCATCCTGTCAGTCACTATATTAGCCGATAAGATCGCTGATTGTCGGCTGAAGATAGGAGCCTAGTGAAAGTTCGTGTGTTGCCGCTTTCCATTGAGTTCGGAGCACGCTGGCAACGTGCGAACCTGCGAGACGCTGATTCCGCCGTACCATATTTGCGGACAACTTCCTGTGGAAATCCGGTGAAAAACACGTGTGCGCGTGTTTGAGCCCAAATAAAAGTGCGCACACGCCATCCTTTTTTTTTTTTTTTTAAACGTTTTAGGAAGTTGTCGCCGAGTACAGCATTGCTTCGACGTTTTGTGCCTGAAAGCTTTGTCTGAATACTGCATTATACAACACGTTCGACGCTTCAGGTACACATGTGTATCACCATAAATAGCTTTGGGCAATTAATATAGTTTAAACCACCTCAAATATTACTCTGAGGGAGTGGAACCAGTGTCAGAGGATACGAATCTGGTCAGTAAGCGGCATTCCATTTGTTATCTTACAATGTATAATTAAATTTGCTAATAAAATAAAAAAAGTCACCTTGTGAAGTACGCTTGATGCCGTGCAATGCTTCAAAGGCACTGTGGGAATTCAGGATATATCACTTTAATCTTCTACTTATGTTCTCGTTGATTTTTTTATTATTTTGTCATTGCTGTTATATTAATTAGCTCCTTAAACATCTTGGTTGCCAATAGAAAACACCAAAAATTTAAACCATGCTTGTTTTTGTTTTTTTGTTGTCGTTGTTGCTTAAATTGAAAACCAAACACGTAAAAAAAGTTGAGTATGCATTTAGCGTCGTGCTCACAACTATACCAACCTCAGATGGGGGAAAATGCAATTTCTGTGTTGAAATATGCTCATGACCAGTTGAACACCGTGCTATATTTTCTGGTCAAATCTTCAGATAATTTTTACGGCATTCGTACGGGCGACCGCGGAAAGACTAGTCATTTCTTTTTATTTCAAATGACAAAACAGCAGAAAAGGCGGGGTGACGAGGCTTTGTTGTTGTTGGAGTTGAAGGGCCGATGCATACAATGGTCAGGTGGCCGCACAACAAGACAAAACAAAAAACAGAAAAAGTTAACGCGGATATCTAAAGCCTGTGAGATACTTTCCGCACGTTGTCACCGAAAACAGTGGACTGTCTTAAACGCCGATAGTGACCGTATTACAGCATTTTGTTATAGATTGCGCCGGAGAAAACTTTGTGTACATACTCAACACTACCGGAGCAGACTTTCTAGTGCGAGCTGAACTGTTGCGACGAAGTGTTAGTCGTCGAGGGAAGATTTTCGCAGACACAGGTGTTTGTTATAGTCGCGAAAAGTACTTGTTCGGTTGCCCTCATGGGCTTACAGTTCGCGACGATTACGACGGGAACACTCGTTGTTTCGTGGTTCAGTTCAGAAGCCGTTCGAATTATAAATTCGTGACTTCCCCCCCCCCCCCCCTTCCTTTTTTTTTTATCGGGTCCTTTTGTTCCTCAAAATAAAGGTTGTAAGCTAAACTGAAAGGTTAATTATATGTAGTAATCTACGCACTCTTTATTTCCCGCGTGGGAAGCTGGATTTCCCGACTGCATCATTATAAATGAGCGCTCGGAAAGCCATGATACAATTATGCCTCTTTTGAAACTGTTTGAAATAAAGACATTTCTCGCACCCATGTTTCATTGTGGTTTATCTAGTTCTATATTCGTTTAGATGTGATAAGTAGAGACGCCTGTTTGGCTAACGTTAGTCTCTGGTGTAGAGTAAACCCAGGTGCGGCCCTGCGTAAGCTCAGATATGTTTTGTGTGGCGGGCGTCCCAGTAGATACCGGCTCGTTTACAGTATATGCCTTAACTTTCCGCGTTGTGTCTTAACGTGTAAGTCATCTCAGTTTTTGGTTTTACATTCCTCGACATTTTGTATGATCTAGTGAAACTAACGCGTTTGAATATCTGAATCTGTTGATCTTATACCTTTATAGCTCGGTCTAGTGCCACTAAATAAGCTACGCTTCAGAGTAACGACACTTGGCCATATTGTGGCTTACAATTATGGTTACCAGTTATCTGAAGCTTTACCTGAAATCAGAGGACACGCTTTTCCGCCCTCCATAAATGTTTAAATAGGTCGGGACAGAGCATAGCAATATTACACGACCTTCCTAACACCGAATGTAATTCTGAGGAAGTCGCACTTTTGAATCATGACGATCGGCAGTTGCGTCTGCTCTGCTCACGAGCCAAAATGGCGGCGCCCACAGCAATGACGGGGAACGGATTGCCGATACTCTAAGCGCAGGTAATGTAGTGGCTCTAGCTCGGCCACAGACGCGCAGTTCGCAAAACTGATACGTGCTGCCAACATAACCCCACTAATGTGTCTTATATTTTTCTTTTGGCAAGAACCCTTATGACATTCGATTCAACGCAATTTATTACCAAAATAGAGTGAAAGGACTTACAGTATTTTTTAATATATTAACAAGTTCAAAAGCATTTTTTAAAAATTAAATGGAGAACAGTTCGATATTTATACTAAGCATATATTCCAAAGTCAATAAATACAGATTTGACTGTTAGAATGGATATAAGAATTACTTTGGTACTGATCATTATCATAGGCCTACGGTTAGGTCATATGGGCTCACAACCAGAAATCAACCGGCTGTATCGATGAAAAAGAAAGACAAACTATAATTTAGTTTAACTTCAAGCCGGATCCGTAGCCAGAGTCACAGCGTTTTGTCTGTGCAGACGCTGAATTTCGTCTCACTCAATTTACTCGGGAACGGCCGCGCCTTCTTTTCGCCGAACCCCTGATTGTTTTCTTAAACGTCCATTAATAACGAAGCCTTGTTTATACAAAGGCCGGCGAATTTCTTCGCGGATTTGCTTTAATGCTGCGCATATTTACAGAGTACATATTCACCGACAAAGCTCCCGTTCATATAATCTCCGCTTCCTCCTTCTCCCCTCGAGCTCCTTTATTTAATATTCTATTACCGCCACTGTATAAACTCAACCACCGTCCGACGTCATATATTTTACTAATTTACTTGCTTACTTGCTTTTTTTCATTATTTTTTTATGAATTGACAAGCTTTAAGAATCGGAGCGCTCTTCGCAAAGCCGCTCATTCAATCCTTGCTCTTGCACCGAGGTTTTTTTGTTTTGTTTCCTAGTTTTCAGATTTTTGAAGTCGAACTCTCGGTTTGAAATCGAGTCGGGAGTAACAATTAAAAGACGTTTCTGAAGCGAATAGGATTTTGAAAAAAAAAAAAGTAAAATTCGCACCATTAATAACTTTGTGCTGCCGCGCCGCCAGAGAATCTGACAATCGCGTCGCAGTTGTTGATGCACCGCCGCGTATTTGGTCCGATTTATTATTCCAATCGCATTACAAAAGAACGGCAACGAACAAAGCGCCGCCTTGCGTTCGTTCCTGCAACTTGGCATAAAGAAGAAAAACAACGAGCCCAGAGTCAACAAGCAGCAGGGCCGATTTTCTCTTCGCGTTTCACCCGGAGGCGGCACATTGAAAAACGGGATCGCTCCAAACAAACTCACGAGACACAAAAAACACAACCCAAATCAACAGCTAAGCACCCATCTTTTATTTGTTCTGACTGGCGCGTATAAAACTAGCTTGAGAAAGACACACCCTTCCTCTATGTTTGTTTTATGCATGTAACGTTCTAGCCTTCAAGCATGATTATGTTTTTTTTTTTTCTGCTAATTTTTTCTTTGCTGTTGATTTCAAATGTTGGATGGCGCCTCGTTTTCGAATTCGTTTGTGGACTTTGTTGCCTTCATGAAATTTTTTTGGTTTTTGTTTTGCACGGAAATTAACCTGACTCTGGGGGGCTGTGTGTTTCTATACTCACTCGCATTAGGGGTAGTACGACATTTCAATTAACATCTGGAGCGTTGAAAAATGAATGAGCTGAGACGCGCGAGTTTGCTAGGAACGGCGGAGAGCTCGACACGGGCATAGCGACGCGTGCGCGCAAAGAGCGACTCATCTTCGAAACAAAAGAAACGAATATATATCCGGGTAAATATTATTAACGTTTTTAAATTTTTTTATATATAGGCATTTCAAACTAGAAGAGTTAGAAAACCTTTTTCTCGCGTTCGGCGCGCGCTACGCACAGGAGCTCGCTAATGCAATTCATCTTGAAGGATGAAGAACACAACTTCGCACGGATACGCCATGAATGTGTTAGTTGCCGCGAGCAGAAAATATTGGGTAGGCACATGTGACAATATGTCATCGCTTATTAATTTTTCTAGACTTTCTTTAAACGATTTTCCGTAAACTCCCTGAATCACAACAAAGAAACTACGTATCTCTTAGAAATTGTTTTCCAGGATGTAGGACACGCAGTTAGGAGTCTGGGCTCCATGTTTCGTACTTATTTCTGCCTCTGTCCCTTTAATATACAGTTTATTTATTTCCCTAGACACGAACCAATTAGCCCGGCAAAAAGGTGTTAGTCGACGCTATGCATACGCAGCAATGAACCCCGAAACTTTTGCTTTTCTTTTAGTTATTTTGTTTAACCGGATATTATTGCGCCTTAAATATTTCGATATCCGGAGTACCCGGAGAATCTTGAGACAAAAAAAAAATCATAGTGCATTAATTTAGACTAGCACTGCTTAACAATGCGCTTGCCAACAATCAATCCGTCAACGAATATCTGAGTTCGCGTTCGTGGCCAATGAGTGCCATGAGGGAACTTACCATCACTTGAGAATGACAAGTTCCATGGTCTGCATAAAAAAGCACGGTGAAACCTCGGAGTCATCGCCTCCGGTGCTCAAGCACTTCACCACCACGGGATTTCTCATTTCGCTTTTGCGTTGAAGATTAAAGCTAGGGAAGAAGGAGCTGAAAAAACATTTCATGGTCTCTTTAAAAATGGACTCATCATAGCCTCCTCTATACTGACAAAGCCTGGCAGATCGCCACGACACGCTGCCGCCAAAAATGAAAAGGTAGCGCGGCAGACAACGGATGAGAGGAGAGGCTAAGGCCCCTCCTCCGTTGTTTTGGGATTTTGGGGAGAAAAATTTCTCCTCGCCAAAGCCGTTTCCCTCTTGAAAGTTCTCTTTCCCCTCGCTTCCATTGGATTGGGCGCGACATGTGAACGTTACCTTCCCACGATCCCGCGCGACTCGGTCGTCTGCTAGAAACCAAGCGCCATCACTGGGCGAGGCATACCGGTGGCATTCTTTTTTTTTTTTTTATTTCTTTACCACGACCCTAGCGGCAACGCGATGCCATCATGCTGCGCTGTGGAATGCACAAACAGTATTGCGAAAGGAAAGCTCTTTGCCGTTCCAACCGGAAAAGAAAATCTTCAGCGACGAAGACAATGGCCCCACCGGATCGGTCGGAAAATTTTCGACAGCGTCCGAGCGGGTCCTTGCGAGGTAAGTCACTTTGAAACTCTGGAATCTTATTGCCTCTCTCGGTCTCGACGATGAAGATCGCCTAATACGAGCATGAGACGAGATAAACACGGATCAAAATTACCGGCATGAACAACTTTGACGCCGTCTTTCACCGCGTATTTGATAATGAAAACTTACTCGCTCGCTTGAATTGAGTCCGTCGAGTTGAGAACGATTCGTGAGAGACTGGGGTGCCACTCAAATGGAGATGGTTGTATCGTTACCATGAGCGTATTGCGCCAGTGAAAAGAGAGTCGCCAACAATCGAGCAACTCGCGCTTTTGTTGTGCAACATGCGCGATTGGTGCTTCACAAATGGCAACTAAAAATATGCGATGCTGCATTTATTTTTCGGGATTACTTCACGAACGATTAGTTTGAGCCAGTGATCTTGGTAAAAACTGGTCTCAAGAAACAAAAGCCAAATGCGCAGCTCCTTCCATTTTTTTTCACACCGACCTCTTTCGAATGCGCAATATTTTTGCTTTGTAGCAATAAATATGTTGTTGTCTTCATCTTTGTATGCGATTTGTCATATGTGATTAGTAAAACATCATTTATTGACAATGAAAAAAATTGCTCTTGTCTTTTGAAGGCTTCGCTGAAAGATCTCTCTGTCCTCATTTGGAACTCACGCAGTAAGGTACGCCCGCGGGTGTGCGCCAAAGCTTTCATGCTTTGCAAATGAACTCAAAGGTGTCCCTTGCGCGTGACAACGCCAAAACAATATCTCGAAACAGAGTAAGGATGAAAAAGGGCCTCGCTAATAAATGGTATAAATGAGAAACGCGCAGGAAAGGCAACCGAGCACTCTATCTTTTAACTGAGGCGACAAGCGAGTGTATTTGGTGGGTAGTTAGTTATATGCACGAGGCGCGTAAATAGCAGACGTCACATGTGCACATGAAATGTGTACGAAGTAAACAAAGCTGCTATTTCGGCGAAACGATTGGTATTGCTAAAAATTACCAAAAAGTCCAGGTTTTGCACGCGTTGTGGCATATTATTGGCCTAACTCGAGTGATGCCGGTTCTCCAAGTGCACTTCATTCAAGATACTAAAAAGTTTTAGTAGAGCGTACGCTAAGGATCGCGAGCCTTGCGGGCGCGTGCCCAATCCATGCTCAAAGCGACGGCACGAGCTCCCGCTAGCAACGCAGTCCTTGCCCACGAAACTCTATTTACACGCAGGGGGAGGTGCATTCTATCGT